ATGTATGTGTGTGTCTGTGTGTGGGGTGGATTTATGGAATGGGTTAAATGTTGAACTGAAGCAATGTAAAAATAGAAATTAGTTTTTAAAAAATATTTTAAAAATTATTTTGAGTTATTTGGTCGATGTTGATTGTAATTAGCGATTAGATACAACACTGGGGTGTTAAATAAGCTATTATTAATTTCTGCTGTAAATGAGATAGTTGTGTATGTACGTAAAAGGTTCAGTAGAATAAAAATCAAGACTATATTGATTTTTTTGAAGAGTAAGAAAGGGGTAGGAAAATATAAGTTTTTACTTCACCTACTACCTTTCAATACAGATGGTCTTGTAAGTTGCCCAATACATATATTCATGTATATGTATATCGATGTATACACATTTTTTTGTTTTATGTCTGTTATGAAATAAAGATTTTTTTGAACCTTTTTTTTTAACTCTTGCAAATCAACAACATAAGAGTCAAATTCAAGATGAAGATAAACAAGTTGTGTACTGTTAAACAAATATTAGGACCAAACTATTTGCTTATAACATTATTTTTTGTGCATTGATGTGAATGTAAAAGTCTTATACCTTTTGAAAGATTTCATCCAATCTAGCTGCCACTTTACCAGCTTCATATAACAACTCAGGGGTTAAAGGAACCTTAGAGATGGTCACCCCTGGTAAATAAGTCAACAGCCGGATGAGGTACTTCTTACAGCCGTATCCACAATCTGACAAAAGTAAACACAACATTGTCATCATCTCAGTTAAGCCTCATCTTACGTATCTCCAGACTCAACCCAAATGTGTTACGTGTGTCTAAGCTGCAAGACTGTGTTCTCGTCTCYTACCCATTTCTTCCAGACTCATGGGCTCTCCTGAGGTGGTAGGAACGGCCGTTTGAGTAGGAAGTCCATTCTGGTGGACGAACGACATGGCGTACGTCTGCACCTCAATTAAGCTGGTGTTCTTACTGTCCTCCGAGTTCATGATCTTCAGGATGTACTCGCCACCCTCAGTGGGCGCCACGTAGAAGTTCTGGTCATCATAGCTGGGCAGGGAGCGTATTTCTCGTGGTGTCAGGTTGTACAGCTTCTTCACCCTCTCAGACACCTGAGACTCATTGAACATTGGCTTCGCGTGCTTCGCTGACATTTCTGCTAAATACAATGGAGGACAGAACCTATCATTATTGGAAATAAATGTATAAATATATAATTAGCTTATTAAAATAAATTATAGGGTCCAAAAGAAGTTTGACAAATAAATTATTGTGCCGTTAAATCAATTACATCAATTATTTAGGTATAAATGTGTATTTACATTTTCATTTTGAAGGATTATATTTTCTCTATGTGCTTTAT